ATGGTGGTGGCCCCTGGGGGTGAGGAACTGGTCCCACCTGGGTGTTTTCCCCATGTCAGCCCCTCGGTGTGAGGATGCACAGGGCTGGAGGGGGGGATGCTGCAGCTGGGGGGGCTGCACTGTGTGGGGCTACCCTTTACCTGCTCCGTTCTCCCCGTAGGCCAGGTGTGGGGGGATGACCACCCGCCTCTTCTCTCCCACGCAGACCCCTTGCAGGCCCTGGTCCATGCCGGGGATGATGTAGCCCTCCAAACCTTGCTCCCAGGGATGCAGCATATGGATATTGTCTTTTTTAACCCGTTTCATGCCTGTTACCACCCTCTCCACCTTTCCCCCTGATTGTCCCGTGTGGGGCAGGAGAGGACACGGGGGGGTCTCTCCGCTCAGCCACTTCCCTCCCCACACCTGGAGTCAAAGAGTGTCCCATCCATGAGCGTGCCGTTGTAGTGGTATCGGACAAAGTCCCCGGTCACAGCCCTGCGCTTGCAGGACTCTGGCACCTCCAGGTGCTCCAGGAAGACGCTGTCCTTGGGGTTGTGGAAGTCAACCAGCAGCACGCTGAACACCAGCGAGGCCTGCGGTGGGATCACCGTCCCTGGGGAGCGGACACGGGTGAGCCCGGACATGGGTCCTGATGTGCTGTGGGGGGCTCAGAGCGGGGAAGGAAGGGGTTGGGCACGATGGGGTGATGCCCAACTCACCATAGCCCTTCTCCCCGTAGGCAAGGAACGGGGGGATGATGATGCTCCTCTTCTCCCCCGCGCACATGCCCAGCAGCGCCTGGTCCATGCCCTTGATCAGCCAACCCGTGCCCACGTAGGTGTCGTAGGTGCTGTCCTTGCTGTAGCTGGTGGGGAGGAATGAGGAGGGGGACGGCTCTGGGGGCACACCAGCTCCCCCAGCCCCAGCAGTGCCACATGGGAGGCTGATTTGGGGGTCACAGAGCTGCACCAGCCCTGATGGGGGGCAGGGAGGCAGAGCAGAAGGGAGTCTGCTCTGACTGGGGTGCAGTGTGTTCCCCCATCTCCTGCCCCAGGCCAGTGTCTCCTGGTCCCTCCCATCCCCAGTGCCCCCAGCCCCAGAGGTGAGGGTGCACCCCGGCACCAGTGCCCCGTACCTGGAGTCGAAGGGGGTGCCATCCAGCAGTGTGCCGTTGTAGTGGTACCGCACGAAGTCCGAGTTCTCCACCGTGCGGTTGCAGTGCTGGGGTTTGGAGAGGGTGGTGATCTGCAGCTTGTCGTTCTTGTTCCAGATGTCCAGCATGACCACGTCGAAGTACAAGGTGGCATCTGGGGGGATCAGCCCCGCTAAAGGGGCGGCAGCAAGGACAGAGCACGTGAGGGGGGGAGCAGCACCGAGCCCAGGGCTTGTCCCCTAAAGCCCTCCTGTGCCGTTGTAGTGGTACCGCACGAAGTCCGAGTTCTCCACCGTGCGGTTGCAGTGCTGGGGTTTGGAGAGGGTGGTGATCTGCAGCTTGTCGTTCTTGTTCCAGATGTCCAGCATGACCACGTCGAAGTACAAGGTGGCATCTGGGGGGATCAGCCCCGCTAAAGGGGCGGCAGCAAGGACAGAGCACGTGAGGGGGGGAGCAGCACCGAGCCCAGGGCTTGTCCCCTAAAGCCCTACCGAGCCCACGGCTGCCTGGGGCTACTGGCCACGTGGCCAGCCCCCCCAGGAAGCAGCAAGACCCTTCATTCCTGGAGACACCCTGCGTAGGCACCACCTTCCCCAGCCACCCTTTGCCCGGTGGTCCCCAGAGCTCACTCCTCACTAATGCCACCTTACCCACGGGGGGTTTGGTCCCTCTGTCCCCCCCGCCGTCCCGCAGCCCCTTACCCACACCGATGCTGCCGTAGCCCAGGTGGGGGGGCACGATGAGGTGACGCCGCTCGTTCACACACATGCCCTGCAGCCCCCGGTCCATGCCGGTGATCAGCCGCCCGACGCCCACCACGCCGGCCACCGTGGCCCCTCGGTCGTAGCTGGGATGAAGGGACAGAACTGTCAGTGTCACCCCAGCTGCTGGTGCTGGGGGTGCTCAGTGCCAGCACCAGGGGCTCAGGGCTGGTCATCCCACCCCACCCCACCCCATCCCATCCCATCCCATCCCACCCCATTCCATCCCACCCCATCCCATCCCCGGGTCCTAGCGCTGCTGCTCCCCGGTCACGGCTCCCGTGGCTCGGGGGAGGCTGCCACTTGGGTCCCAAGGAGCCAAACCATGGACCCCACAAACCCCAAGAGATGGTGCAGGGCTCGTGGGTTCCTGCTGCCCTGGGGGCAGAGCAGGGGACGGGGCTGCCCCATCCCTGGGGGTGCGTGTCCCCGTGCTGCAGGCAGAGCCCCCAGCTCACCCCCCAGCAAAGAGACATCGATCCTGATGGGATCGATCCTGCGCTGCTGGGGGGGGAGCTGCATCCCCTGGAGTCAGGGACTCCAATCCTGACCCTGCACCCTCAGACGGGGGACAATGAGGATCAGCCCCCCTGGGTGATGCTTCCAGTTGGGACCAAACCCACCAACCCCCTCCCCAGATTTCACCCTGGGCAGGATGCCGGCCACTCCTGGGCTTTCTGCTGCTTCCAAATCATCCCTCATACGGCACATTGGGAGCTTTTTGCAGCGAGGAGGAAAGAAGACATCCCAGGCCTCGTTTTTAAACTGCAAATTCATTTTTATTTCTAAATCTTAAAATACTCCACGATGCAACTGGGGCCGTTTCAGATAAATGGAAACCCTCTAGCCCCTGTTGCTACAGGGAGGCCACCTCCCGGCAGCTACAGGCCTCGGGACAAGGAATTATTTTAGCAGCCAACATCCCCAGGCTCCCCCTGCATCCGGGGTGCGGAGCAGCGGCAGCAGCAAACGGCTCCGTTACTTTCTCCCCCGTTCACCCTCACGAGAAAGACAAGGCACATCGAACCAGAGCCTTTGCTTTCCAGAGCTCTGAAAAAATGCCCCTCTGGAAAGTTTTTGTTCCCGTGTGGGGCTGAGCTCCAGCACAGTCCGTTTTCTTTCTGTTCTTTCACTCTGTCCCCGATTCTCGCGGTGGTGCAAATCGGGGGGGTGCTCCAAATTAAGCCCTGATTTACAGCCTGCGTGAGTGGAGCGGGATCCATGCAAGGGCTGAGAAAATCTAAGACCAGGGAGGGTGAAGCCTCTTAGGTAATGAAGGGGTTTCGCCGCTGCCACGTTTCAAAGTGCTGGAGGAGCTTTCCCTGCCTGTGCAGCGCATGCAGATACATGTTCCTCAGTGCACAATGTCTCAGTGGGGGTCAAATCCTGCCCAAGCCCGAGACGGGCTTCCCCGTGGCACCCCAGGAGCTCTGCGGGCTCCTGGCCCGGGCAGGGGGGGCTTCTGCCAAACCTGGGGTGGCAGCCCAGGCCGGGGGGGGCTGTGCTCAGCAGCTCTCTCGGGGACATGCTTGGGGACAGGGGTCCCCGGGGTCCCCGTCCTCCCCCAGCGCCCACCAAAAGCCCTCCTTGGGGTAAAAACTGGGGGGGCCCGGGGGCTGGCTCCCTGCCCCCCCCTGCCTGCTGGCCCTGGGGCATGCGGTGGGGCGAGGGGAGGGCTGGGGAGGGGGACATGCAGGGACCCCCCCCGCAGCACAGCGCCGGGGCCGCATGCAGCCGGGAAAAGAGCCGAGGGCGATACCTGGAATCAAACTTTTTGCCATCTTTAAAGGTCCCATTGTAGTGGTAGCGAATGAAATCCCCCATCTGGACCTCCCGCAGGCAGATTTTGGGGATATAGTATCTGTCTATCACCACGTCTTCCAAAGGGCCGGGGTCGCCCAGCGCCGGAGCCCCCAGGGCGCTGAGGAGGAGGATGAGGAGGAGGAGGATGCTGCCGCCCGGGGCCATGGCGCTGGGAGCCTGCGGGGAGCGGGACGGGGGGCG